AAGTTTTGTGTTCGTTCACATTTCAAGCAAGGGTTCGATAATATATCGAATGACGTAGCCACTAAATCAGTCTTTAATAAAGAGAGTGCAGGGGTCCCATGAACAGATGACTTCATCATCAGCGCCAATTATTTTTTTTTGCATGTAAAAATCACAATGCGAAACCAATTCACTAGTTCAATGATTGAGGTCCCACAATGGAGATGTTGCACGTGTGAGGAATTTGCGATTTGACTGTTGATTCTTATGTAAAAGTTCGCAAGAAACACGATGTAGCCACTGGTTTTCACTGAAATCAACTCCCGAGCTCAAAAAAGCTCTCAAGTTGAGGCCAAAATGGAGAGAATATCCCACGCTAGCCTCAGAGTCCACCTCTACATCAAAACAAATTCTCTATGCAAAGATAGGGAGCAAATACATTGACAGAGTTGCCACTTTATTTGGGGACTCCAAAACTGAAAACACGGCATCACTGCTAATGTATTTGCTCCCTATCTTTGCATGGAGAGTTTGTTTTGATGTAGAGGTGGACTCTAAGGGTAGGGTGGGATATCCCCTCCATTTTATCCTCACTTTGAGAGCTTTTTTTGAGCTTGGGAGATGATTTCAGAGAAAACCAGTGGCGCCATCGTGTTTTTCGCGAACTTTTACATAAGAATCAATGGTCAAATCGCAAATCCCTCACACATGCAACATCTCCATTTACTAGTTCAATGATTGAGGTCCCACAATTGAAAGTTACCCTGTACCGCTTTAACTCCTGCCCACCCGACAACACTGCTAATAACGAGCTTTAGTGGAGCTTTTATAGCTTTGGGTTAAGGCGACCGAACCGGTAAAAAGCTCAAAAGCGCTTATTTCTTGGTTAGAGCAGATTCTCTCTCGCGGGGATCAGGGCAGGATGGTCGAGTCGATGAAAATTACCGTGGGCTCAGAGGGAAGTTCTCCAAGAAATTGAAGTATTCTCCAGCAGTCTGACAACCTCGGTCCAAGGCTGCTTTTATTAAGACATAAAATCAGCGAGGCACTAACGAGGTTCGGGCTGCAATGCAGGTCAGTTAAAGGAGACTTGACCCTTTCGGTCAGCGGGCACCGCATGTGGGCTGTAAAGTGTACGTTGAATTAAATGAGGGATCATTTCGTTGCTTTTAAAAGATAGGATTAGTGTAACTCCGTAGCCACTTGTTTTCAGCTTTTTTTCGAGTCTGTTAGTGTCTTGTAAATGTTTACTGGAGCGAGAAGAGGAGATGTTTCCCTTGGAAAAATAAGCCTGTGGCGCATGCATTCTTTTAAAAATAATTTTCTGAAACCACAGAATGAACTATACCGCAATACACCCCAATTTGACATAGCTGACCTAACGCAAAATTTTCTCTGTAGAATACAATACGGCACTTTCAGATGAAGCAATAAAGAATTTGCGTGTGAATTCTCCATTGAAAAATGTTGAAGCTCCTGATTTTTATGAAATTGATTTTTTACATATTTATTTTCTGAGCAAAGCCCGGAGCTGGGGTTGCGTTTTTTCGACTGAGAAGAAACGAATTGTTCCATCAGCCGCGGTATTGCTGCCGTGCTAAGGAAGAACGCCGTATGAACATTCAAGAGTTGCCAAATTTCCCCGGATAAAACATGTATTTTTGACGACGTATTTTCTTGAAATTCTCAGATATTTTAGATTAAAATGCGTATAAAATTGTGTGAAAATTTTGAAAAGAATATTCGCAATTTTCACAGTGAATTCGGTTTTTATCGGAGGAAACTTGGGAACGTCTGAGGGCTCATATGGCGTTCTTCCTTAGCACGGCAGCATTACAAAGGAACCACCCGTCAATACCCCACAAAAACCCGTAAGCCACGAGCCAAGCGCGCCCTGGAGCGGAGCCCAAACAACCCGCCGCGAACAAGAATCTAATACCGATTCAACGAGTTATTAATAAACCCAATCAAAAACTCACAAGTCAGCGGGCTAATCCCGTGGGCGGGCGCAAACAATGGTCGTTTGTAGGAAGCGTCGCGGCTGTTTGCCGGAATTAGGGACGGATCATTACCCGCCGCCCTTCGGGGCCCGGCAGGGATCCGGCGCATCCCTTCCACGCGCCGGACCAACTGTTCCGCCCCGCCGAGACGGAACCGCCGATCTGCGCGCCGCGCCCGGGGGGCGGTTACGCGGTTTTGAGGGCTGGCGGGTGGCTGTTCGGTTTTATCGCCCCTGGCTGGCCCGTTACTGCACCGCGCGCCGCGGAAATTCGATTGTCTCGCCGATTGGATAAATAAGAAACACATGTACGGGTTTGTTCCAGTATGTCTTGTTTGTTTTAACCATGTTAGAGCCTTGTTCTCGAATAACACGAGATACTGATGCAGAAATCACACACTGTAAAAAGTTACGGGCTATATAGATGTACCGTCCGTTCCGGGCTCAGAAGCCTCAGAGTCCGTTCCGGGTGCTGGAGCCGTAGCTTCGATTCCTCCGGGTGCCACGCCCGAAACTTTCGGCCTCTGAGGCTGGAATGCGGACGGTGATGAAAATGGAATGGAATTCTCTGAAAAGTTGGAGGAAAAATATTCACAGATTTCCGTAAGAATTCGTATTTTTTTCAAACGGAAGGCAACGCCTGATGGCCCATACGGCGTTCCTCCTTGAGAACTGTAGAGGAGGTATAGAATTAGAAAAAAAAAACCAGAAGAGGGATGTGAATAAAAAAAAAGGAGTAGGAGAAGAGTAAAGGCAACGAAAATAGAAAGAAGCGAAGGGAATAATTTACTGTAGTAGTATAGTTAGTATAGTATAGTAGTAGTGTTAGTATTGTAGTAGTATTGTAATAATTTATTGTAGTAGTAAGGTACGAATACTATAGTATTCGTCCCTTTTGAAGCGGTGCCTTTAGCAACTATGGCCATCAACACCTCTCTAGTAAGGTTACAGCGTTTGTCACAAAAAAGAACAAAGGTAGGTAGTAGTGAAGAACAAAAGCGTAAAACTTTAAGGACCCGAAGAGAAATAGGAGAGGAGGAAAAAAAACAGGAAATGATACAATAGTGGATTTTCTTCGGAAAATACACTAAAAGAGGCAGTCAAAATGGAAGAGTAAGAGCAAGAAGAAGAAAAATATGAGTAACCGAAAGAAAAATAGAAAAATGACCAAATGCACAAAACAGAGGAGAAAAAGAAAAGATTGGAGGAAAATGGAAGGATGTATAATTCCCTTTTCTCAAACTTTTCCAACGTATTTCTTTCCTTACTTATTCCTTTATTTCTCTTCAAACTCGAGGGACTAGTGGCGTGACGCGCTCTGCGATCTATCGACATTTCTCCATTTGAAGTTATGGTAAAGAATCGATTATTGCGGACCGCTTGTTTATTGATACTTTTCCATGAGTTTAAATGAAAGCTCAATCGATATATCGCAAAGCCACACCACTGCGGAGGACGAAGACTCATGGGTATGAAAGACCCGAGTCCGGCAGACAAGGGCTAAATGAGGTTACAAAAATGGTCCCACAAATCCTCCACGGCCAGAATTCAAAATTTGCAAGGCAAGTGGCGGAAAATGTGGGGGCGGGGGGGAATGAAGAGGCATCATTACGGGAAAAATCGTCGGGTCGAGGCCTGGTAAAGTGGGTTTTGAATCAGAATTAAAAGAGGAGGGGCTGCAGGGAGGTTGGAAACCGACCGAACTGAGGGCTCATGCATAATAGATAGCGGATTGAACTTGCCTCTAATCTCGGCTTGACAGCCTCAGAGTGAAGTCTGGAGTGGCTCAGACCATCGATTCGACATATCGATTAATTATCGATACAGTCGCTATCCACTCCGGCTAAAATATCGAGAATCGATGGATCGGAATTCGAATCGCGACGGCGACTCCGCTGGGAGATTCCGGCTGGGCTGAGCTTCAGCTGAGACCCGCAGTGCGAAGTCTGTGACATTTCGGAACTTTAGAACGGTGTGTCGGGGATTTTTGAGCCCGATTTGGCAACGAGGAACTGAGTTTTAACTTGTGCGTGACAGTCATTTTCGCGTTTTCGTCGCGGGATTGCAAGGTTGAAATGAAATTCACGAACTTGCAATCGAGTTTTATTCGTGGATTTATCTGAGACGGTTTCCGATTATTTGGATTGCATTTTGCAAAAAGGAACCAGGAGAGTTATAATATTGCTAAGATTGTGCAGCTCTTTTTGTCTTGGAAAAAACCTGATTATCTATAAAAAGTTTCTATTTTACTTGCTAAAAACAGTAAATTTAGGACAAAAATTTCCTCGTAAATTCTATATTTTTCCAGGATTTCAATAGTTACATTGCCATGCATGAAGTTGCATAATCTTAGCAAAATTGCAATGCTCCTGGTTCCTTTTTGCGAAATGCAATCCAAGTATAGGTCTCTAAAAAAAGAATCAGAAATCAAGTTGAAAAATAAGGAAAAAATCTAGTGTCAATACAGCCGAACATAAATAAAAGAGGCACGGACCTTGTTTTTCAACTTTTCTTCCGAATCCGAGCGACGCCTCATTGGCAGCACAAAGTAGAGCATTGCAATTATTGCGAGCTCGTGTCTCGCGCCATCGCGCCTTCAATTTTGCAGATGCAACATGGACATCCATCAAGTACGAATAGTTGTATCTTTGCGCCGTCATCCACGCGCGCGCAGGACTACCTTAATACCTGAACCTTGACACTGTACTTTCTTACTATTTTTAAAATAAAATTGGAAGGGACACCTGATTACCTCTAATCAGTTTCTATTTTACTCGCTACAAACTGTAAGTTTAGGACAAAAATTACCCTGTAAATTTCATCTTTTTTTAGGATATAAATCGTTATACCGCAATGGTTGAAGTTGCACAATCTTAGCAACGTTTCAATGCTCCTGGTTCCTTTTTGCAAAATTCAATCCATTTCATCTTTGTGGATGGATGGATTGAAAAATAGGGAGGATGAAACAAAAATCGTTACTATACATCGGAAAAAAGGAAGGGAGTCAGTAAATATTACTTACGTTATGCCGCGGCGACCAAGAATTACAGACGAGCGAGGCATCTTCTAAAATACGACTCTGAAATCAAAAATACGAAAGAAAAAATTAGCTCATTGAAATGTTATCATAAACCCGATTTAAAGATATGAAAGGATGTGTGAAAAAAGACGAAAAGCATAGAGTTACAAAAGTTGTAATAGAAATGGAAGAGCTGGCACCAATGACATCGGGAATTCAGGTGCATGTATTGTTTGGGTGTCGCAGAGCGTCAGAGTGCGCTACAGGAGCAAAGTATGTGTACATGGGTTAGGATCAATACTGCCGTGCTAAGGAAGAACGCCGTATGAGCCTTCAGAGGTTGCCAAATTACCTTCGATAAAAACCGAATTCACAGGGAAAATTGTGAATATTTTCCCCCAAAATTTCCAGACGATTTTGTAGGCAATTAAATCCAAAATATCTGAAAATTTCAAGGAAAAATATGTATTACTTTCCTTTAAAATACATGTTTTATCCGGGTAAAACTTGGCAACTCTTGAATGTTCATACGGCGTTCTTCCTTAGCACGGCAGATATAAATTTCGGCCCGGTTTAATAAGAACGTATGTGTCATTAGTTTCTTTAAGCACATAAGTGTTTTTTTTTCAGATGAGTTAGAATTCATAGCTCCAAATTGCAAAATGCAGTCCAATATATGGATTAGATTTTGCAGTAAGGAACCAACCACTATTTCTGGCTCTCCCAAACAAGCACATATCTGCATAGGGAAACTAATGGTTTGTATGTTGTTTCTAAAATGGGCCAGAAATAGTGGTTCCTTATTGCAAAAGTAATCCATATGTCTATTGCTTATTTCTACGGTAAGTCATCATGAGGGGAGTTTGAGCGTTGATATCAAGGTGAATCTTCAGCTATAGTTCCGAAATGACGAACCTAAATAGCCAAAATAGGTGTATTATACGGAGTCACCGTCCCAACTTTCTCAATACATTCGTTTTAGGCATTTAAAACACGTTTAGAAGAAGAATTGTGGACAAATCAAGAGGACAAGTTCAAATCAAATTTCTGTTTCCTGCCCATGGATTCCCACGCTCATTTACACACTCACACAAGTGCCCAGCGCCAAACCTGGCTTCATTTTTTCCTTGAGTCCCTTTATACTGAGAGTCAAGACAACACCCCCTCACGGAGTCACAAACAGGAATAAAGATTACACAAATTGAACGTTTGTCGTAATCTTTGATCGGCCCATTCTCAAATTTCTTTCTCTGTTCCTTCTCTCATTCCGTTTGTTCTTTGCCGAACCCGTAATACCCTGATCCATTCCACATAATAATCTTTGCAATTGGTGGAAATGTAATCTTTATTCCCGTTTGTGACTCTGTGAAGGCCTAAAATACGGGAACCAATCAGAAATGGATTCGCATTGTCTTGACTCTCGGTATAAAGGGACTTTAACTCACACAAGTGCCCAGCGCCAAACCTGGCTTCACTTTTCCCCCGTGCTTTTAGATACAAACACTCCGTCTTTATGTCTTTGGTTTGAGGTTACGGGAAGGCGAGTTTTGGATGCGTTGACGGAGCCAAGACGGCGCGGAATCCGTCTTGGCTCGGTTATTGTCGAGCTAATTGAGGAGCAGCGCGATCATTATGACGCAGCTCATGAATCGGTAAAGACGGATTCTAAAAAGGAGCCCCTACACGACCCGGCGGATACCGCCCGCACTACTCCGGCCGCCCGATTAACTATTCAGTTTGTCAGTCGCAATTATTGTCTCGCGCCCTTTCGACTCGCTACGCCAGCCGCTCTTTCCTCGTGACTCTGTATATCTACGCTGTCGTTCTAGAGAAGAACGCCGTATGAAAATTTGATAGTTGACAAATTTCCTCTCAGAAAATATTTAATTTTGAGGAAAGTTATGAATATTTTCCCTTGAGATTTTTAGACTTTTTAGATCGAATTGCGAATGGAACCCTCTGAAAAATCGCAAAGAAATTCTCACACAATTCCCTGAAAATTCGTGATTTGTCGACGGCAATTTGGAAATGTCTGCTAGCTTATACGGCGTTCTTCCATAGCATGGAAGTATGAAAACCCACGATGCCGGTTTTAATTGGACGTCTTAGGTTGACAGACAACCTTGGATTGACAGATTCGTGTCTTGGGATTCTTGAAATATGTCTGATGAGGATTCCTTATCAATCAAAAGCAGCAGAGGAGGAAGAGAAACACAATGATTAAGAGGAGAAAAAGAGAAGATAGAAATATTTAAGTAAATCTATTTAAGTAAGTGGCAGTACTGTTGTATCAAGGGGAAAAACCGTATGAACAAACCGATTTTGCCAAATCCCTCCATGGAAACAGGGAAAAAAAGAAGAGAAAAGTTCTTTAAAAAGCAAATGTATCAATAATAAAAATGAATACAGAAATTAGAACGAGAAGTACAAACAGAAGAAGCAGTGGGAGGAGAAGATGATGAAAAACGGAAAAGAAGAAAAGAAAGTGTTCTTCTTTGTTGTTTTTTTTCCTTTTCTTTGTTCTCCAATGCTTCTCATTCTTCCTATTCCTCTTTTTCGTCGTCGTATCCTTTCTGTCTTTCGTATTTTGATTCGGATGAAAAAAAGACTGTAAGACTAGGTTAAAACTTGGAATGCGAAAACCTCAAATCACAACTTTACTTTTCTACACCGCGCCGCGCCGTCTTTCACCCTTATCTTCATCCGTATGGATCAAAGGCTTTTCTCAGGGTGGCAAAATTTATCTTAAATAAAATCATGAAATTTCACGTGATATCTCATAAAATTTCAGAAATTTATGAAAGATATTGAAAAATACCGGTTTCTTTTCACGTTTCGCGAAATGTGAAAATTGTGACTATCTTCTACAGTAAAAACTCGTTAAGACGAAATACAGTTAAGACGAAAATCCGCTTAAGACGAAAGTTTTTTCGGTCCCTTGACATTTTCATAAGAGTCAATGTAAAAAAAATACGGATAAGACGAAAAGCCGCTTATGACGAAATTTTTCTCGGTCCCTTCATTTTTCGTCTTAACGAGCTTTTACTGTATGTTTGTGTGTTTGAGTGCGGGTTGCTTACTCTAGCCCCTTAAAAATATGGAATATTTCCCAGCCTCGTGAAATTTCATGAAGTAACTCACTGAAATTTCCAATCCCTCATTTCTCTCTTACGTTTCCATGCCACCCTGGTTTTTCCCCTATTAGGCTTCAGGGACATCCCCTTGTGCTGCCGTGCTTTGGAAGAACGCCGTATATGCAAATTCTAGAGTTCCCAAATTTCCTTCAATAAAATGTTCATTTTTAAGAAAGTTATGAATATTTTCCCTTGAAAGTTCCAGAAACTTTAGGTGAAATTGCGAACTAAATTATCTGAAAAATGGGGGGAAAATATTCATAAATTTACAAGGAAATTCGTGTTTTATCTGTAAAGATTCGGCAACGTTTGAAGGCTCATACGGCGTTTTTCCATAGCACGGCAGTGTACATATTGTCAGCACCGATGACGCATATGCTGACAACGCCTCCAAACCGATGCTCGTGTCTAATATTGGTGTGACATCGGCTTCGCTGAAAAACGCATTATCATTACGCGATAATTACGCGGTTTCAGAATCCCTCACCTGCTCGTTGAGTCCCTCCCCTCGTTCCCCGCTGCGCGGGAGCCCAAACAGGGCTGCTAACCGCAGGAGCGGCCGCTCGAAGAACAATAATCACCTCATTCACCTGTCAGGGTGCCCACGCTCATTTTCAGAGTGCAGATTCAAACTCAACCGTCGGTGCCGCAATGCTGCCGAGTTAAGGAAAAGCTGAGGGGAAAATGCGCAGAATTGAGTAGCGTTGAACGCGAGGGTTGGATGGAACGACTTCTCTTGCGAAGTGTTCACCTGCAGGCCGATTATTGAAATTGATAGACAAAGCTATAGACAAATACGACAAAAGGAATTCGGAGTGATCCTATTGGTGGAAGCGGGTGATAGCAATGGGCATAGGAGGTAGGTAATGGGCTTACTAACGGGAACCCACCACAGACCCGACAGTTAGTTCATCATTTTCTCCCTTAGTCGATAGGAACCAACCACCAATAGGATCGCTCCATACTCCCTATGTCTTCTTTGTCTATAGCTTTGTCTATCAGTTTCAATAATCGGTCCGCTGTGCCTTTATTGAAACAGGACGCTCAAAAAACGTATATTTTTTACGGAGATTGTGAGGTTTAGGAGTGTATTTTAGACTGTCCTCATGCGCTCATCGTGATTTTGGAGCCATTTCCATGAGAAATAACTCCTAGGCTCTAGCTGAAGTTTGCAACAGGCCCATTCCCCGAACCTTCCTACGCGCCTACCCGGACCGTTTCGAAAGTGTGCGATTTATCTGCCATTTAAACGTATGAAAAAGGATCGATAAACAGGCGTTCGCAACGAACACCTTAATAATCGATTCTTTACCATAGCTTTCAAGGGGGAAATATCAATAATCGATCATTCACGCCGCGCAACAATGTCGTGCTAAAGGAAGAATGCCGTATGAGTCTTAAGGTGTTGCCAAATTTTCTTCGATAAAAACGGAGTTTACAGGGAAAATTGTGAACTTTTCCCCCCAAAATTTTCAAACGATTTCGTACGCAATTTAATCAAAGAATCTGAAAATTTCAAAGAAAAATGTGCCTGAAGGTCGTCATAAAAACATGTTTTATCAAGGGGAATTTGGCAAATCTAAAATGCTCATACGGCATTCTTCCTTAGCACGGCAGCACGCCGTGCTAAGGAAGAACGCCGTATGAACATTCAAGAGTTGCCAAGTTTTCCCGGATAAAACATGTATTTTAAAGGAAAGTAATGCATACTTTCCCTTGAAATTTTCAGATATTTTGGATTAAATTGCCTACAAAATCATCCGGAAATTTCGGGGGAAAATATTCACAATTTTTCCTGTAAATTCGGTTTTTATCAAAGGAAATTTGACAACGTCTGAAGGCTCATACGGCATTCTTCCTTAGCACGGCAGTGTATAGTGCGGCGTGAGTGATCGATTATCGATATTTCCCCCTCTGAAGCTACGG